TGTGGAAGTGTGGCAGACGTGAGGATGGCGAGGAGAGGGAGGAGTTTGAGCTCACACACACACTTTATAATCCCTGTGTTTTCTGTGGTGGAGCGACAGGCAGGAGAACTGAGCAGGTGAGGACACCTGCAAAGAGAGAGGAGGCCTGCGGCCAGGAGAACTGTGTAGAAAAACCTAATCAGATCGAAATGTCAGAATTACTTTCCCACGCTGCTTAACCTGCTGAGATGTTTTACCAGATAAACTATGACAAAATAATTATGACCAGTATCTGATGCACAGGTGTGAGGCTGCCTGATCAAAACACCAGAAACACTGGAGAGAAACTGACACGAGCCAAGATCACCAGAGTATTCTCTCAGGGGAATGTGAGGTCTCGCTGATCAAGTAGGTGGAGCTGGAGGTGGTGGAGAGCTCCAGGCTGGACATTAGATGGTGTGGAGCAGCAGAAAACTGGTGAAAAAGAAGTGAGGGATGTCTCAGTTTGGTTCATTAGCAGAGAAAGTTTGCTGATTTCCATAATTTCCTTAAGTTGAGTGTCATGTCTCTCCATAACAGGCCTTGTTGGACAACAACTTGTAACAAAAGAGTTTTGTTCTGCTTAAGTTCAGAGGACTTGGATCATTTTGATCAGAGGGATACTCTGCTGAGTCCATGTTGTGACAGATTTCTTAGGCTAAGCGGTTTTGTGTTGAGACAAGTTTATTGTCCAAGGACATGTGACTAAATAACCATCATTTAGTTAAAGTGACAGTTACATGAAGGTGAACATTAGAGTTTTTCAGGTTTTTTCCTGTTCTGGGAGGGCAGAGGCTGCTGCGGAATGTAGATCATACACAAAGGTTTGATTTGACTGATTCAAATTTTCTTGTCTTCAAGACCTAAACTATAAAGTTACAATTTCAGCGCTCATATGAGACTCATTTAAGTGAAACTCTGTGAGATGAGGAGGAGTTGAGCGTCTGACCATCCAGGACCTGTGACAAAGATCTCAGAGGCGTCACAGGAAAAAACTACAGGCCAGGTACAGACCGTCCACATGATGTCCACTTACACCAAGACCTTTTTATGTTACTTTAAAACATACAGCTGATATAAACTACAATAAAATATTTACCACAGCTCCCATCCACCAGGGACATGCATGGGGCTGCACGCTACAGTTAGTCAATGTTTTTAAAAAGCCCATGTCAATGTTTTAAACCAAGTTAATCAGAAACACATGAAAACCTGTCATACGCACTTTCCCCCTCTGTTTTCATTCAGTTTATATGTTCAATAAGAAGCAACTGGGGTAACCACAGTTTTCCTACAGGAGCCAATTCATTGTTATTATTTATTTGTTTTTTATTTTCTCAGATCTCTGGACTCTCAGTTTCAGTGGCAGAAACTTTCAGCATGAAAACTCTTTACTGTCTGAAGTTGGAATCAAGCCTCAATCAGTGATTTATCTTGATATAGTCAGACAACCTGGGCACAAACTCGATGGCAGAGTCAGGCAATGTCGCCGTTTTTTACTTTTCTCAGATCACTGGACTCTCAATTTCAGAGGCAGAAGCTTTGGTCATGAAGACGCTTTACTGTCTGAAGTTGGAATCAAGCCTCAATCAGTGATTTATCTGAACCGCTGTATTTCTTGGTTATTTGTAATTAGAGCGGAAAGTGCTGCACAAGATGAAAAACTATTGGGCAACAAGGATGAAGGACTGAACCGTATTTGGCGCAGCATGGAATGTTTGGCTGATTTCAACAGCCCAGTTCTCCCATCTGACATAGAGCCTGGTGCTGAGCAGTGAGTCTGACCTGTTTAGTGACCACAGGGACATTTCTCTTGTAAACAATACAAAAGCTGATGAAAATGTATTTGTAAAGAGTCAAACGTGTATTGGAATGCACTTAAATTCCTCATAGTTGTTCATATTGTAACGCCCTCTAAGGGTTTGACCGGCCCGTACAGGAGGCACCGTGGATCACCAGACAACTATAGACAAGAGAGTTCAGTTACAAATGGTTTTATTTCAATAATCCAAAGTTAAAATGGGGAATCGACATGTCGTACTGATGAGGGAGTTTGGTAAAAAGTTTGTTAAAAGGCTTGTTCAGAAGTCCGGGCGTTTGGTCGGGCTACGGTGGCTCCACGTCTGGCAGAGCTGGTGTGGTGCCTCGTCCCCAGCGTGCCCCAGTTTCACTCACGGAGCGGCCGATTGCTCTTAAGACCGGCGGACCTCGGCCGGACAGAGCGACAACAAGGTGTGAGAGAGAGTGAGGGAGAAGGTTCACAGGATTTTTAAACAATAAGCACTGCCCCTTCCAGCTGCCAACGACATGATCATTGGTCCACACCGACACCGAGAAAACTCACACAAAGAAAAAAAACAAAAAAAACACTCCCATTTAAAGTGACAGAGGAACGATACTTTACCCCAGTTACAAAATCCTTCATCATTAAATATAATAGAGAGATCTAAACTATAAACTAAACCAGGTCCACAAATCTGACAGTCAAACAGCAAACTCCACCACAGAGTTCAGACCTGTGCTCCAGCTCAGAGTTAAACTTTATGTCACTTATTTCATCATTTTCACATCACTGTAAACAGGCTTCAGCAGAGTTACATCGAACTGTACTGGGAGGGTGTTGTATTTTTATTTTCACTTGATAAAAAAAAGATTCTGACATTTGATTTTAGTCTGGACTTCTGTGGGTCTTTTTTGGTTGTGTCCTTTATAAACGCTCGTCCTCTGTTGTTTTATTTTGTTAAAGTATTTTTCTTTTGGGCAGTGATTCTCCTGTCATCAACCTGACAATATTATTTCTTACATAACGTGAAGCCTGTAGCCAAACTAGTGTCATATAGTGATAATGTGTGCACTGTGTCTCCATGGTAACTGCTGAACATTCCACTCTAGACGTGCATGTAAAACACCTCCAGCTTGATGTCACTGCAAAGTTGTATTTTATTTTATTTCATTAAATCGTCTGAAACACGACAGGTCTTCATTTCCTGTGTCACATTTGTGTCATTAAATTGTAGCGTGAATATAAATACTTTTTAAAAATGTAATTCTCATTCATGAAAACAAACGTTGGTCTTAAAATGTCGTTTATTAAATGGACTTAAGTGTCTCTTATGCTGTCGCAGGTCGACAAGTTCACACAGTTGGATGATTTTTGCATTGATGACATAGATAAGAGGTGTTCATTTTTTAGAACTCAGAGCTGTTTCCTGTCATTATTTATTTATTTATTTTTATAATATGATAGAGTCATTATAGCCAAACACCTTCAAAAAGATTATGATGGAAAATGTCCTGGACCCGATTCCTCACAAAACCAACTTATCACAAAACGTCTGGAGTGTGTTTTTTATCCTTCGAAACAGACCACTTCTCCTTCCTCTTTCCAGTGTCACTGATTCACCCACGAGTGACACTGATGTTGAAACTTTTCCTAAACAAAAGTGAAACTGAATTAGACGTAAAAATCCGTGTATCATTCGTTCATTCGTTTTTCAATATAAAACCAAAAATAAGAAAACGAAAAAACAACAGTTTTCTTCGTTATTTGTCTCCAAAACCAAAATGAAAAAACGGATAACGATTCGTTTTTTCAGTTTTCGATTTTGTGTTTAAATGAAGAATGGAAAAAACGGATAACGGCCGTTTCCCGTTTACGTGACTTCCGTGACTGCGATGCCGAACTTTTGCACCGCATACGGACTGAATCAGGACGGATCCAGGTCCGAGACCAGAGCGGGACTGAGACCGGGACCAGAGTGGACTCCGAGCTTTGACTCCGAGCCTCCACAGGGTCCGAGCCTCAGCTTCGAGCTCCGGTCCTGCCGTGGGCTCTGAGCCTCCGGTCTGGTCCCGGTCTGGTCCTGGTCTTGTCTCGGTCGGTCTCAGGCCCGCTCTGGTCCCGGTCTGGTCCTGGACCTGGTCCATTTGAACCAAAAGCTCTTAGTTCGATTCATTTTCATTGGTGTGAATGCGTCAGTCGGAGGCTTTACTCCACCTCGGAACCAGCCGCGGTTCTTGAGCGCGGAGGACCAGAGCAGCTCTGTCTGGTCTCGGACCTGGATCCGTCCTGATTCAGTCCGTATGCGGTGAGACTGGGACCAGAGCGGGCTTGAGACCGAGACCGAGACAAGACCAGGACCAGACCGGGACCAGACCGGAGGCTCAGAGCCCACGGCAGGGCCGGAGCTCGAAGCTGAGGCTCGGACCCTGTGGAGGGCTCAGAGTCAAAGCTCGGAGTCCACCCTGGTCCCGGTCTCAGTCCTGCTCTGGTCCCGGTCTCAGTCCCGCTCTGGTCCTGGTCTGGTCTCGGACCTGGATCCGTCCTGATTCAGTCCGTACGCGGTGCAAAAGTCCGGCATCGCAGTCACGGAAGTCACGTAAACGGGAAACGGCCGTTATCCGTTTTTTCCATTCTTCATTTAAACACAAAATCGAAAACTGAAAAAACGAATCGTTATCCGTTTTTTCATTTTGGTTTTGGAGACAAATAACGAAGAAAACTGTTGTTTTTTCGTTTTCTTATTTTTGGTTTTATATTGAAAAACGAATGAACGAATGATACACGGATTCGTAAACACAGTGAAAGAGTCGAGACGGTAAGAGCTCTTTTATATATTTATCCTGTTACAAGTGTTATTAAATATGCTACAGTTTGATCATGAATGTTGTAGACTCTGTGGACAGATTATATTTATACTTTAGGTTTAAGACATGATCTGACAAAGTCTGACACAAAAAGTTCACACCTATTTTCTTTCTTTCAGACTGACTGAAAATCCTTCTGACCAGTATGGACAACTGTTCTAGGTACATAATGCAACTTCTTTTCTTTTTTTTTTGCAGTTGTTTTTGTGTTTTGGTGTATTTAATAACAGCAGTCAGGATTTATAAATCTGTCAGAACTGAGACTTTTCACTGTTCAGTTTAATCCTGGTTTGGAGCAGACTGACCAGAATTACATAAACTCATTCAATCTATATTTAGACCTGGTTAAGGTTCAATCCACGTGAGTTTTGGACCAAAAAATAGACCTGAGGCAATTACAACAAAATCACAGTTTATTGTTCCAAGACCAGGAGGATACGGAGGAAAGATTCTTGTGATGCTCCTTCCAGTCACTGGTGTCGTTCTTGCAGGACCAATAACACTGACAGAAGTTCTGTTACCAGTGTCAGAATTGGCCTCTGTTGGTGTTAGTCACTGTGAGAAATAAACACATGATGCATTTTGTGGTTTTTGGAACAACTTTTCCCTGGGACTATAACAGAAGAATGGGAGAACAGCAGCAGCAGAGTTTTAACTCTTGATGTGGGCATTTATGTTCAAAAATAATAATAATAGTTGTGTTTGTGTTGTCAGTGTGTGTGAGTTTATGTGCTGTGTGTGTGTGTGTGTGTGTGTGTGTGTGTGTGTGTGTGTGTGTGTGTAATAATAGTCATGATAGTGATAGTATCTAAGTGTTGGGTTTGTACTGGTGCAAATACCAAAAGAAAACATGTTGGCTGTGGTGTGGAAGTGTGGCAGACGTGAGGATGGAGAGGAGAGGGAGGAGTTGAGCTCACACACACACTTTTATAATCCCTGTGTTTTCTGTGGGTGGAGCGACAGGCAGGAGAACTGAGGCAGGTGAGGACACCTGCAAAGAGAGAGGAGGCCTGGGCCAGGAGAACTGTGTTAGAAAAACCTAAGTGAGATCAGAAAATGTCAGAATTACTTTCCCACGCTGCTTTAACCTGCTGAGATGTTTTACCAGATAAACTTATGACAAAAGTAATACATGACCTAGTATCTGATGCACAGGTGTGAGGCTGCTGATCAAACACCAGGAAACACTGGAGGAGAAACTGAACACAGGAGCCAAGATCACCAGAGTATCTCTCAGGAGGGGGAATGTGAGGTTCTCGCTGAGTCAAGGTAGGTGGAGCTGGAGGTGGTGGAGAGGCTCCAGGCTGGACATTAGATGGTGGTGGAGCAGCAGAAAACTGGGTGAAAACAGAAGTGAGGTGATGGTCTCAGTTTGGTTCATCTGAGCAGAGAAAGTTTGCTGATTTCCATAATTTCCTTAAGTTGAGTGTCATGTCTCTCCAGTAACAGGCCTTGGTTGGACACAACTTGTAACAAAGAGTTTGGTTCTGCTTAAGTCAGAGGACTTGGATCCATTTTGATCAGAGGGTTTGACTCTGCTGAGTCCATGTTGTGGACAGATTGTTCTGTTAGGACTAAGCAGTTTTGGAGTCGAGGCAAAAAAATCACAGTTTATTGTCCCAAGGACATGTGACTAAATAACCATCATTTAGGTTTAAAGTGACAGTTGATCATGAATGGTGAACATGAGAGTTTTTTCAGGTTTTTTCTGTTCTGGGAGGGTCAGAGGCTGCTGCTGGAATGTAGATCATACACACAAGTTTTGATTTTTGACTGATTCAAAGGTTTTCAATTTCAATTTTCCTGTCTTCAAGACCTAAAACATATAAAGTTACAATTCAGCCCTCATATGGAAACTCATTTGAAGTGGAAACTCTGTGAGACTGAGGAGGAGTTTGAGCGTCTGACCGTCCAGGACCTGTGGACAAAGATCTTAGAGGCGTCACCAGGAAAAAACTACAGCCCAGGTACAGACCGTCCACATGATGTCCACTTACACCAAGACCTTTTTATGTTACTTTAAAATACATACAGCTGATATAAACTACAATAAATATTTACCACAGCTCCCATCCCACCAGGGACATGCATGGGGCTGCAGCGCTACAGTTAGTCAATGTTTTTAAAAGCCCATGTCAATGTTTTAAACCAAGTAATAATCAGAAACACATGAAAACCTGTCATACGCACTTTCCCCCTCTGTTTTCATTCAGTTTATATGTTCAATAAGAAGCAACTGGGGTAACCACAGTTTTCCTACAGGAGCCAATTCATTGTTATTTATTTGTTTTCATTTTTTTGTCTTTTCTCAGCTCACTGGACTCTCCATTTTAGAGGCAGAAGGTTTCGTCATGAAAACACTTTACTGTCTAAAGTTGGAATCAAGCCTCAATCAGTGATTTATCTGGACTGGTCTATTCACTCGCCTTTAAAATTAATACCTTATTGCTACGAAGAAGAATCAGACGATGACGAGGATGACGAGGATGACGAGGATGACGAGGATGACGAGGATGACGAGGATGAAGGACTCAACCGTATTTGGCCCAGCATGGAATGTTTGGCTGATTTCAACAGCCCAGTTCTCACATCTGACATAGAGCCTGGTGCTGAGCAGTGAGTCTGACCTGTTTAGTGACCACAGGGACATTTCTCTTGTAAACAATACAAAAGCTGATGAAAATGTATTTGTGAAAGAGTCAAACGTGTATTGTGAATGCACCTTATATCCCCCATAGTTGTTCATATTGTAACGCCCTCTAAGGGTTTGACCGGCCCGTACAGGAGGCACCGTGGATCACCAGACAACTATAAATGAGAGAGTTCAGTTACAAATGGTTTTATCTCAATAATCCAAAGTTAAATTGGGGAATCGACATGTCGTACTGATGAGGGAGTTTGGTAAAAAGTTTGTTAAAAGGCTTGTTCAGAAGTCCGGGCGTTTGGTCGGGCTACGGTGGCTCCACGTCTGGCAGAGCTGGTGTGGTGCCTCGTCCCCAGCGTGCCCCAGTTTCACTCACGGAGCGGCCGATTGCTCTTAAGACCGGCGGACCTCGGCCGGACAGAGCGACAACAAGGTGTGAGAGAGAGTGAGGGAGAAGGTTCACAGGATTTTTAAACAATAAGCACTGCCCCTTCCAGCTGCCAACGACATGATCATTGGTCCACACCGACACCGAGAAAACTCACACAAAGAAAAAAAAAAACACTCCCATTTAACGTGGCAGAGGAAGGATACTGTTACCCCAGTTACAAAATCCTTCATCATTTAATATAATAGAGAGATCTAAACTATAAACTAAACCAGGTCCACAAATCTGACAGTCAAACAGCAAACTCCACCACAGAGTTCAGACCTGTGCTCCAGCTCAGAGTTAAACTTTATGTCACTTATTTCATCATTTTCACATCACTGTAAACAGGCTTCAGCAGAGTTACATCGAACTGTACTGGGGGGGTGTTGTATTTTTATTTTCACTTGATAAAAAAAAGATTCTGACATTTGATTTTAGTCTGGACTTCTGTGGGTCTTTTTTGGTTGTGTCCTTTATAAACGCTCGTCCTCTGTTGTTTTATTTTGTTAAAGTATTTTTCTTTTGGGCAGTGATTCTCGTGTCGTCGACCTGACAATATTATTTCTTACATAACGTGAAGCCTGTAGCCAAACTAGTGTCATATAGTGATAATGTGTGCACTGTGTCTCCATGGTAACTGCTGAACATTCCACTCTAGACGTGCATGTAAAACACCTCCAGCTTGATGTCACTGCAAAGTTGTATTGTATTTTATTTCATTAAATCGTCTGAAACACGACAGGTCTTCATTTCCTGTGTCACATTTGTGTCATTAAATTGTAACGTGAATATAAATACTTTTTAAAAATATAATTCTCATTCATGAAAACAAACGTTGGTCTTAAAATGTCGTTTATTAAATGGACTTAAGTGTCTCTTATGCTGTCGCAGGTCGACAAGTTCACACAGTTGGATGATTTTTTGCATTGATGACATAGATAGAGGTGTTCATTTTTAGAACTCAGAGCTGTTTCCTGTCATTATTTATTTATTTATTTTTATAATATGATAGAGTCATTATAGCCAAACACCTTCAAAAAGATTATGATGGAAAATGTCCTGGACCCGATTCCTCACAAAACCAACTTATCACAAAACATCTGGAGTGTGTTTTTATCCTTCGAAACAGACCACTTCTCCTTCCTCTTTCCAGTGTCACTGATTCACCCACGAGTGAACACTGATGTTGAAACTTTTCCTAAACAAAAGTGAAGCTGAATTAGACGTAAACGCAGTGAAAGAGTCGAGACGGTAAGAGTTCTTTTATATATTTATCCTGTTACAAGTGTTATTAAATATTCTACAGTTTGATCATGAATGTTGTAGACTCTGTGGACAGATTATATTCATACTTTAGGTTTAAGACATGATCTGACAAAGTCTGACACAAAAAGTTCACAACTCTTTTCTTTCTTTCAGACTGACTGAAAATCCTTCTGACCAGTATGGGAGGCTGTGTATCCTGCTGCTCTAGGTACATAATGCAACTTTTATTTGTAATTATTTTTGTGTTTTGGTGTATTTAATAACAGCAGTCAGGATTTATAAATCTGTTAAAACTGAGACTTTTCACAATTCAGTTTAATCCTGGTTTGGAGCCGTCTGACCAGAATTACATAAACAAGGTGCATCCTTAGTAAAAGAATCAAACAGTAGAGTCGAGCGCAGACGAGGTGAGAGTTTTGGGGAAGTTGGAACAACACTTGGCACAGGTCTGATGATGTGGATCTTTGAAGTGGTTCAGAGGCCGAGGATCCTGGCAACTGGAAACACTTTGTGTCTGAGGAATGCTAATGTGCCATTAAAACCAGGTTGACCCCACTGGAGGACCTGGGACAGAACTGAGTCAGGTACAACAATTAGGCAACTCATTACCTGGGTCAGGTTGGGTTTGTTGGACTTCCCAGACAACATTCTCAATCTCCCAAAGAGGACTTGACTGTAGAGTCTGGTCTGTCAATGAAGGAAGGAGGAAGGTTAGGACCAGACAGGGATTCTTCCTCCTCAGACGTTGGCAGTGGGACAGGGAGTTCAGTCATCTTGCTGATTGGAGGCAGGAAAGATTCTTGTGACGTGTTCACACTATAAAGAGGAGCTCAGCTCCTTCCAGTCACTGGTGTCGTTCTTGCAGGACCAATAACACTGACAGACGTTCTGTTACCAGTGTCAGAATTGGCTAGTCAGGCTGGCGCCACCTAGTGCCTCCGCTCAATTTCATTTCTCTCCAGCAACTAGGTCAAGAATCAGAATACAATAGACGGTTTGCAAGAACCCCGGAAGTGCCAGTTCCGGGCACCAGCCAATCAGTGAAGAGCCGTAGTTTCAGTGTTGTCAACGATTCCCAAGATCAAGGATTTAAAGCTGGAACAAAGAGAATGTTTGGTGAATTTCATCAAGGGGAAAGACGTTATTGTCCTTCTTCTTACGGGATTTGGGAAAAGCTGAATATACCAGTTAACCCCTTTAGCGGCACATTACATACATCACGACCAAATAGCAGCAATTGGTTAAATGACAAAAAGTACCCGCCTACTGTCGAGCAAACAAAATCTAAAGGCTGCGAGGTCAGACGTTTGTACAAAGTGAAACAAAGTAAAATGGCTGATGAATCAGGCTAATAATTGGCCTCTGTTGGTGTTAGTCGCTGTGAGAAATAAACACAGGGTCCATTTTCTGTTTTTTGGGACAACTTTTCCCTGGGACCATAACAGAAGAATGGGAGAACGACAGCAGAAGAGTTTTAACTCTTGATGTGGGCATTTATTTTCAAGAATAATAATAATAGTTGTGTTTGTGTTGTCAGTGTGTGTGAGTTTATGTGCTGTGTGTGTGTGTGTGTGTGAATAATAGTCATGATAGTGATAGTATCTAAGTGTTGGGTTTGTACTGGTGCAAATACCAAAAGAAAACATGTTGGCTGTGGTGTGGAAGTGTGGCAGACGTGAGGATGGAGAGGAGAGGGAGGAGTTGAGCTCACACACACACTTTTATAATCCCTGTGTTTTCTGTGGGTGGAGCGACAGGCAGGAGAACTGAGGCAGGTGAGGACACCTGCAAAGAGAGAGGAGGCCTGGGCCAGGAGAACTGTGTTAGAAAAACCTAAGTGAGATCAGAAAATGTCAAGTTTGTCTGTGAAAAAGAAACCCTGAGATCACCAGAGTATCTCTCAGGAGGGGGAATGTGAGGTTCTCGCTGAGTCAAGGTAGGTGGAGCTGGAGGTGGTGGAGAGGCTCCAGGCTGGACATTAGATGGTGGTGGAGCAGCAGAAAACTGGGTGAAAACAGAAGTGAGGTGATGGTCTCAGTTTGGTTCATCTGAGCAGAGAAAGTTTGCTGATTTCCATAATTTCCTTAAGTTGAGTGTCGTGTCTCTCCAGTAACAGGCCTTGGTTGGACACAACTTGTAACAAAGAGTTTGGTTCTGCTTAAGTCAGAGGACTTGGATCCATTTTGATCAGAGGGCTTGACTCTGTTCAGTCCATGTTGTGGACAGATTGTTCTGTTAGGACTAAGCAGTTTTGGACTCATGGCAAAAAAAATCACAGTTTATTGCCCAAAGGTCAGGAGGAGAGGGAGGTTTCCAGGAAAGGTGCTGAGAACAGGAACAAAGTAAGTAAATTTGATTTAAAAGGCAAACATTAAAAAATAACAGCTGACTGAAAAGTCACCGTCTAGTTGATGTAACAGTCTGCAGACACTGGACTCAGGAGATCTGGGTCTTTGTAGTCAGCTTGTATTGCAGACTGAGTGCAGGGGAGTGATTCCAGCAAACTCCACCCACATCCACACACACAGAGGTAAGAGGCAGAGGAGCACCAAACAGAGAAGACTGCACTCACAGACAGGGACTTTTCAAACCTGTGGCCTGTAAGACCTGCTGCTGATTTGGCCAGTGGTATTTCATTGATGTAAAGGTTTTTTTAAATTGAATGATCAACTTTTCTTTTCTTTTAGTCCAAAAACATTTAAAGTTACAATACGGCCTTCATATTGGGACTCGTTTAAAGTGGAACTCTGTGAGACTGAGGAGGAGTTTGAGCGTCTGACCATCCAGGACCTGTGGACAAAGATCTCAGAGGCGTCACCAGGAAAGAACTACAGGCCAGGTACAAAACAGTTCTGATGAAGTATTTGGTCAGTCATGACCCCACCTTTTGATTTCATTCATGTCCTGATTTTTTCCAAGCATTTGGTCAAAAGATGTTTGGACCCAGTACAGATATATTGTATAAGCAGCTCTTGACTGGACTCACCTCATGAGTCATTCATGTTTTTCTATGTTTATTTTTTTCTACATTTGATATAGACGTATAATATTTCAAATATATGAAGCAAGATATATATGGAATGATGTACCAAAGAAGAACGTTAAATAACCAGATATTTAGTTTAGTAGTTAGTATATAGTAGAGTTATTTAACTTTTCATTTACTACACATTTGTATTTGTCATACTTCATATATTTGATGTGTCCTGTGTGTATCTCATCTGTAGAAAGTAATAAACATATAGGAATAAAACACTACATCAGAGGGGGAATCCAAACTTTTGACTTGTAGTGTAAATATAAGTGTTAACGAAATGTTTAAGTGTTTTCCAGTTATCAAGTCTGTGGTTAGCATGCTAGTTGTTTTTGCCTCTGGAAGTTGTGAAACAAATTCATAAACTCATTGCGGTTACCAATCAGGAGGCTCAGAAGAGGCTTCTGTTTTTCATGTTTTTAATCAGGAAAAGATTAGACTTAGACAAACTTTATTGATCCACAAGGGGAATCATTTGGACACAGCAGCTCACAGCTACTGTCATGAATGTTTATTCATTTGTCATTAACGGTTTGGTTTCACTTTCCATTGCTTTTTTTTTTTTTCTCAGGTGTCTGGACTCTCAAATTCAGAGGCAGATATTTACGTCATGAAGACTCTTTGCTATCAGAAGTTGGAATCAAGCCTCAATCTGTGATTTATCTGATACAATTTTCACTTGAGTTTTCATTTGATGTTTGTGCATCTGCAAATATTGCGTCTGTCAGCATGGACCGTTTGGCCGATTTCAACGGTCCAGTCCTCACATCGGAACCACCTGACGAAAAAACTTTTTAATTAGTGGATATTGTATTTAGAGAGAGACACAGAGAGAGAGAGGAAGAGGTGGGGCAGACAGGGAGAGATGGAGGGAGGGACAGACAGAAAGAGAGAGAGAACGACAGACAGGTGAAGCCCAGAGTGAGTTCAGGTTTAATTTATGACTTGCATGACTTTTGTTAATGACGGTGTTAACGACCAGAATGAAAGAGGGAAGCCATTTTTAACGTGTCATTTTATTTTCAGAAAGTTCATATGTTTGCCTGAATGTAGCGCTGCGGAAGAAAAAATAAATAAATACATAAAAAAATTAAAATAAATAAAAATATTCTGTGCATTATGCAACACTTTCTGAAAAAACACAAAAAGCCAAACCTGGAAACAGAAATAGGGAAGAGCCACAAACACCAGAACAAGAAAAGAGCCACAAACACCAGAACAAGAAAAGAGCCACAAACACCAGAACAAGAAAAGAGCCACAAACACCAGAACAAGAAAAGAGCCACAAACACCAGAATTAGAAAAGAGCCACAAACACCAGAAGAAAAGAGCCACAAACACCAGAAAAGAGCCACAAACACCAGAATAAGAAAAGAGCCACAAACACCAGAATAAGAAAAGAGCCACAAACACCAGAACAAGAAAAGAGCCACAAACAC